GCTGCCGCTCAGAGGAATTTCCCGTCCACAGGCGCTAATGCAATTATCTCATCTCTGCTCTGCAGACGGAGAGTCCGAAGCACTGAGGATAAGTGACTTGTCCAAGGTGACTTCGCAGCCGAGTTCAAGAGCGGACTCTGAAGTCCTGGGTCCAGCCCCCTGCCCTGCCTGCATCAGTCGCTAACATCGCCAGAGCTTTCTTCTGTGAGCACTGCGGCTGCATCCCGCTTTGCCCTGCTCCGCTCTGCTGCTCTGTGAGCAGGGACCGCTGCTACCTGCCTGCTAACACGAACTGAGAAAATAGCCGTAGGGACGCAATGCACTGCTTCAACGCAGCCACCGGCACGCCTGCCGACAGGTCATTTTTTTTTTTTTTTTTTTTTTGTAAAACAACCATTTGCATGCGCTTCTCCCCAGCGCGGGGACAAACCCATACTGCAGGGCTGCTGCTTGGAGCATGATGCCCAGACCTGTATCTGGGGATGCCTGATGTCCCCCAGCTCCAGGGTGGAGGAACGAGTTTGCAGCCGTCCCCTCCCCGCTGCGGCCCCTGGGGCTGGTTCCAAGTGACCTGCATCAGTCCTCATGCACTGGCTACACTTCTGCTCGTGTAGGTCATCCTTTTGTCAATGGGCATCCAGAGCCTGAAACCAAGGGCTGTCTTTGCAGCACTTGCTGTTGGGAAACTCCCTTGAGAGGCGTTTTAGAGGGCATAGTTCTTAAGTTTGTTTTAAGTGAGCTGCAGACACAAAAAGACATGTAAGTACCTGACTCCCTGCAGGATTTGGGTGCTGGTCCCTGGTTGGACGTGCCTCCTCAGATAGATGCACTGCAAGCTGCTTTTGGCATGGGGCTGGCAGTGGGGTGGTAGGAGAGACTTGGAGACGTTGGAGACCGGGGCACTTGAGGGTCTGGGGTCCAGGGCTTGGTGGTGGAAACCTTGTCCCACAGGTTGCTCAGGTGGGCTGGAAGCCTGGAGGGGGAGGTGGGAAGGGGAGAGTTTCTGGGCAGGGCTCTGTTTGTGTGTTTTGGGGATGCCGTGCTCTCCAGGGAGTGGCAGTGGGCTCCTGGCTGCACAGCTTTTTCCATGCGAGCCTGGGTGTCCTGTCCCAGAGCACATCATGCCTGGGCTCAGACTGGCCTGGACGCTCCACCCTTCTCACCTCGGTGGAGAGGAGCCTGGCCAGCCTGCCAGGCATGGCGTGCTGTCTGTGCCAGGAAGTCCCATTGATTTTTATGGGCAATGAAAGTTTTTATGGAGCAGCTTTCTCACAGATGGTGGAGGCATCCTGTGGCTTTTCCATTAGGGCACTAGTTCCCAGAGTGGGTTCCTGGCAGGAGCCTGCTGGCAGTCCGTGGGGGGTAAGTCCCAGGCTGCACGCCCAGCCCTACGGCACATAGCTCAGTGGCTCTGTGACCCCTCGTAAGGGGGGTTTGCCCCAGGGGCTCACCCTCTGCGAGAGCAAAGAGCAGACAGCCGAGGGTCTGGCAGCAGCAAGAGTGGCTGCTCCCTGGTCCCCCTTCCCTGTCTGTTGGGGAAAGCTTGTGCCTGCAGGTATGGGAGGTAGCCTGGAGCCCCCAGGAGGGGCTTGTCCTGCACACTGAGGGTTTGGGCTCTGGTGGTGCAAAGTGCAGCCGCTTTGGGCATGCAGAAAAGTAACGGTGGCAGCTGGTGTGGCAGGTTCAGTCAGTAATCTCCCAGTGTCTTTTCCTCTGTGCTTTATTTAGTGGTAACATATCACTTCTGTCTTCCTGAGACCACAGCATGACAGGAACAAGATCAGCCTCTGTTTACCCCACACATTCAATTCGGGTTACGTTCATGACATCGTAACAGTGGTAGACAGGATTAAAAGTTTTACAAGCTGCAAGGAATCGTCTTTCCTGTAAGTAACTGTCCCCTTGCAGTACAGTGCCTGCTCAGGCATACCTGCAGAGCCAGGCAGCCCTCTGCTAAGTCTTACTCCAGGTAGCAGCATGATTCCCCGGGGACAATCCTGGCTGCAAAGTCCCCTCTGTAGCATCCCCGAGGCTGGTCTTTGAGCCTGACAATTGCAGGAGACCTCCATCTGGTGGGAACCACTCCCTGACGTTAGCTAAAGCCTCAAGCAAAATGAAAAGTGCTTCTTGGTAAAGTTAAATAACTCGTTCCCTGCAGTGCTTGCAATGCAGTACTGCAGCAGGGCCCGAAGCCCAGGATGCAGGGCTCTCAGGCTTGGCTTGGTCTGCGATGTGCCTGGGGAGTTGTTAGCATGGGCATGTGTGGAAGAATAAATCCGCATCTGAAGCGGCTGCAGAGAGACGCGAATCTGAAGCTGAGGGCAGTGTATCCAAGTTAAGGTGTCAGTGGAGTTGGGGGCCAGCTTGTAGCTGTGGGAACAGCTGTATCCCCTTGTTTTGGTTGTCGGAGTGCCCAGGGAAAGCTCTGTAAGGATGTCTGGGTTCCTTTGGTGGCTGTCCCGTGTGATGGGGATGGGGAGTGGAGCTGCTCCCCTGGCCCGGGCAGAGCATCCCTGTGTCCTCTGGAAAGGTTCATGTGGACGTTGATGGCTCAGCCCAGTGCGCAGGAGTGCAGTGCCAGTCCCCTGCATGGGACCCTGGGAGCTTTCGGGCATGCCCTCTGCTCTTGCAGCTGGGCTCGTACCTGCTCCTCAATGCATTTCTCCCTGCTGACGGGGAGGAGAGGAGCGGGAGAACTGTTCTGCAGTTTGAAGGTCATCTGTCAGCTACAGCGGGAAGCCAAGCTCTCTGCAAGGCAGGCGTGAGGGGATGCCGCTCCCGATGTCCGCACAGGCGCTGCAAGGAGCCTGCTGCACGGGCTGGCTGAGAGAGCCCGTGGCTGGGGTGGGGGACGTGCAGAGTGGCCGGCGTCCAGGACAGCAATGCTAATTAGTGCTCGAACTCCCTGCTTGAAGAACAGACAGCTCTGCTTTTGCTTTGGGCTTTTTTCCCCCCTCCTTTAAGGTTTAGCTGAAAGTCTTGCGGATAACATGCAAATCAGGGCTTTCATTTGCATACTTTATTTGTGGTGCTATTATGGTTCCCTTTGAATCCGTGCTGTCTCTGTGCGTGCCAGCCAGCCCCTGCCCTTCCTCCAGGAGCCAGTCCGCCATCTCTGCCAAGCTGTCCTGGGGCCGGGGACAGGCCCGTTTGCTCCTGCCATGGCAGCCTGCCATGCCAAAGGGGACGAGGGGTAACAAACCCATCCCTGGGCTCTGGGAGGGGAGGAGAGCTGGGCTCATGACCCCTGGGCTGAGGCTGTGGGGAGGAGAAGGATGCTGTGGGCACCTGGCAGAGCCGGGAGCGGGACCGGGGGCGGGGGGGCGATGGCTGAGTCCCACTTCCCCCCCCATGTGCTCCCTGGGACGGGATGCCCACTGTGGCTGATGCTCCAGCCAGAGGCTGGGCTGCAGGGGAGAGAAGTGGTCCTTCCCATGCGCCGTTCTTCTCCCTGCCCCAGCTGCCTTGACGGTGCACGTCTGCAGCAGAGCCCGGTGGCAGGCTGGGCTGCATCATGGCCCCGGGAAGGACGGGTCTGCAGCAGGATGGGCTGCACGTCCATGTCCTCACTCTGTCCTCCCCACTCTCTGCCAGGTTTGCATGTCTTTGCCATTGCCTTCGCCTTGGAGGTGTCGGTGGGGAAGACCAACACTGTGATGGCTCTGAACAACTCCAACGTCCTGCTGCCCTGCACCTTCACCACCTGCATAGGCTTTCACAACCTGGTCTTCACATGGCATTTCAACTCGACAGAGATGGTGGGTGGCTCTCTGGGCTTCGCCTCTTTTCCTGGCAGTCCTTTTGTACTTTTCCAGTGCAGACCAGCACTGCAGTTCTCAAGGAGCTCCCTTTCTCCTCTTGCAGGATGCCAGTCCCTCCGAGTGTCTCCAGCTCTGGGGGGGAAGTGGCTGTGCAAACAGGGTGACTCAAATACCCTGGCACATTTGTGCTTTTGGCATAAAGCTGCTCTGGATTTTCTGCTGCCCACAGGCTCATTTCTTTTCATAAATCGGCTGTTTGGGCGTAAGGCTGCACTTTGGGCAAAATAGAGTTAATTTCCTCCTCCTGCGCTTGCTCTGAAATACTGAAGGTATAGATTTGCTTCCTGCTGGGAATATTCTGCTCTTCAACTCTGTAGCAGGAGGGCTGGTTTAGAGCAGGTCTGTCCTCACAGGCTGGCTGGCCCTGGATTGCCCTAGAGCAAAGGGACTCTCTCTGCCCAGGGGTTCTCCCATTGTTTGCGTGGTCTGTAACATTGCTGCAGGGCAAGTAATATTGATAGGTTGCTTCCCCGGCGGGCTGTGCGTCAGGTCCCTCTCCCCAGCCATTTCTGCTTTAGTGGGGTGTGCTCAGATGCTTGGCCATGCGTATCTGTGCATGCAGAGATGGGGCAGGGCGCTGGCAGGACAACTCGAGCCTTTCCCTCACCTGGGGTTGTCGAGAGCCCAGCTGACCCTGTGTCCTGCATCCCTGGCTCTGCAGATTTACCATGGCAAGATAAAGAACAAAGCCTCAGAGCCCTTCCTCGTGGGACGCAACCCACGGGTTGAGTTTGTCGGCTCGACGACCGGGAAGGACAACAATATCTCCATCGTCCTGAAGAACGTGGAGTTCAGTGACGCTGGGAAATACACCTGCCATGTCAAGAACCCCAGGGAGAAGGATGCAGAGCACAACGCCACCATCTTCCTCACGGTGGTCCAGAAGAGTAAGTGCCGTCCGCAGGTCCCGTGCCCCGCGAATGGCACCGGGGCAGTAGGGATGCAAACCTGTGCTGACTCCACCTTGGCTGATGGTTGTGATGGCACACGGGGTGCCCTGGCCTCTCGGAGGTAGTTGGCATCGGTGAAGGGCAAGGCTTGGCCTCATGCCTCTCTGTGCTGTGTGGAGGGGGTCGCTGCTTTGCGGGGGGGTCCCTGCTCCCCTCCTGAGGCCCCTCAGCACCTTCTCTCCTGCAGTGGTGGAGGCAGACAACACCGTGACGCTCATCATCGTGGGCGTTGTGGGGGGGCTCATTGGCCTCCTCATCCTCTTCATGCTCGTCAAGAGGGTTGTCCTGTTCATCATCAAGAAGACCCAGGATGGGAAGTGAGTGTGGGTGCTGGTCCTGGCACCCTTTGGCATGTGCTGCCACAGGGCAGGGCTGCACGGGGCCGGGGTCGTGGCGAGAGGGGCTG